CTGTTGGTAATTCTGTTTGTGTCCGGACGACTTCCACTTGGATCATCAACCTGAGAAGGAATGTAGGCGTACTGCTGTAAGTCCTACAGTTCTTCAAGGGTAGTTTGTCGTGTCAGAATCCACAACATTTGATGTGTTGATTGTACATATGTTTGTGTTAAATAGTTGTGTGAGTTCCAATTGATGTAATTGTTGGTTAATCTTGTTTGTGTCTGGACATTCCACAACTTACAATCGTCAACCTGTGAAGGTTTGTAGGCGTACTGGTGTAAGTCCTGCAATTCTTCAAGGGTATTCCATCAAGACATGAAATGCGAGTTTGTGTGTACTGTTTGTATATACGTGTGGTGTGTCATATCAATTGGTGTTATTTGAATTCATTGTGTTTACTCGTTGTTTTCGTGTCTTGTTTTTATTGCATAATTTTGTTAAAATTTTCGTCGTGATTACTTTCGAAGTTGTGTCCACTCTTCTACATCCGTGAATGAATTGATTGATGTTAAGAACAGCAGATGGGTCGTATACGCCGGGGAGGCTAGGCTATTGCTGAGAATGAAATGCACACGGAGATAATTGTTAGCTGCGGTCCGACACGCCGGGGAGAAAGAGTGTAAACGACTGAGGCTCGCATGCGTCACCGCTACTAGAACTGAGGCAGAATGAGTGACAAGCGATTTCAATGGTAATTGGTAGTGAGTAATTAAGAGGATGTGCGTAGAGTATCGTGAGGTGGTGCTATGGTCACTTTGCATTCTGCAAGAGTCATTCTAGCAAGTGGCGATTGTGTTGCAAGATGTCAAGAGGAGGTCTCTGTCTGGAGGCGCAGGTCGTCATTGATGTGTGAGATTGTGCTGTGGGTATGCTTGTGGTGTGTTGGCTTTTCTGTTTGTTTTCCATTTCAGCTCTGTCCGTGTGACCCAGGTTCTCGCAATGGCATCCAAGTCAACGTGCATTGGTCGTGAAGGAAAAAAGGGTTGGATCCCTTTTTTGCCGGGGAGTGTCAATGGAGTTGAAGATTGAACGATCAATTCTTGGTTGTTTGCTCAAAATCAACTTCCCCGATTTTCGCGGAGGCATCAATACGACAGTCATCGTCTCATCGGTCGCTGTTCAGAAAGAAGAGTAAAATATCGTCAGAAAACTTAGTTTGCTTAGTTCGCTTATTCCTTTTATATGTTGGTGTAACAATACAGAAATATCAAACGGCAGATCGGTGTTTTGGTTTTTGCGTCCGTTATAACTAAGCGTTTCTGAGAAATCTTCTAAGAACAGCGTGGGCCCGAGCGTAGCGAGAGCTGGGCATTAACGGTTTATGAGACTTGGCTGACAGCAGTGTTTGATGCATCAACCGAGATACTTAATGGTGCCGTTGGATCCTGATACATCAGAAGTGTGGCATTCGCAATAGCTTTTTTAATCTGGGTAAAAGCATTTCGAGCAGACGCGTCAAGTTCTATGGACTTGTTATTCCCTCGAAGGAGGTCTGTTAATGTCTGAATCAAAGAGGCACAGTTGGGAATAAAGCGTCGAAAATAACTTACTAAGCCGTTAAAAGTGCGGAGACTTTTCACTGTCTGTGGCTCTGGAAAGTTCAGTATAGCCTCGACCTTAGTAGCCAGTGGGCGAATGCCCTTGCAGTCAATGGTGTGACCCAGAAAGTCGAGTGAGTCAACACCAATTTGACATTTTTGAATATTAGTGGTAACACCATGTTGGCGTAACCTTTCGAATGCCGAGTCCAAGTGCCGAAGGTGAGTTTCCTTGTCTGAACTGGCAATGAGGCAGTCGTCTAAGTATGCGTACACAAAGTTGAGACAGCGAAATACTTCGTCGATGAAGCGTTGGAATGTTTGGGCTGCATTCCGGAGACCGAATGGCATGCGTAGAAATTCCAAAAGTCCGAAAGGCGTAATGATATCCGTTTTCGGGATATCTTCTGTTGCCATCGGGATTTGGTCATACGCTTTAACCAAGTCGATTTTGGAGAATATAGTCGCACCGGGTAAGGTTTCCGTCAAGTCGTGTATATGAGGCAACGGGTAGTAATCAGGGGTTGTTTTGGCATTCACTCTCCGGTAATCACCGGTGGGTCGCCAGTCATTGCTATCCTTTTCCGGAACCATATGAAGTGGGGATGCCCATGGGCTATTCGAAGGTCGAATGATGCCAAGGGTAAGCATATGGTCAAATTCATTCCTGGCGATTCTCAGTTTGTCAGGAGCTAATCATCGTGCTTTAGATGTCACAGGTTATCCTGTGGTAATGATGTGGTGCATAACATTGCTGGTTATGCACGGCAGGTCGTTTGACGGGCAGTTAAGTTCCGGATACTTGTCAATCATAGGTTGAAAAGTTGGATCAAGAATTGCCTTTATCTTAACGGGTGACAGACTTGGGCCTATGTAGCTGATGCCTTCGATGGACAGACTAGTAGTATTGTCAATCAGTCGTTTTCGGCGGACGTCTACGAGTAAATCATGATGATTAAGTAGGTCCGTGCCAATGATGGGCATTGTAACGTCAGCGAGAAGGAAAATCCATCGAATAGGTTTGCGTATGCCTACGTTGAGATAGACGTATTTTCTACCAAAGGTTGCGATTGGTTTTCCATTTGCAGCCTGTAAGTTGGAGGTAGGCTCCTTCTGTAGATCTGATGCTGTAGCAGGAAGGACACTGACTTCGGCGCCTGTGTCGACTAAAAATCGAGTCTGGCTTATCACATCATGGATGTAAAGAAGGCGGCTAGTGCCACCGGCGACGGTTGCCGCTAACGCGTGCCGGCGGGATAGTTTCCCACAGACATTGGGATATTTCCGAAGTTACAAGGCTTACGGCAAAACTTCGCTTCTTGGCCATAGGTGTTGTGGTAACAGCACCAGTCCGGGTTTTTCAGTGAACGCGGTTTGGACTTAGATCGACCACGTGAGATACGGCGTTGAGGGGATTTAGGATGACTGTCGGAGGAGTTAGAATGCATGTTAGACCTAAACCCAAATTCCCTACATTATCACGGAGGCATCAATACACTAGACATCGTCTCATCGGTCGCTGTTCAAAAAGAACGTAAAACCGTCAGAAGTAATATCGTGATTTATTATCGTAATATTTGTTCATAGATCACATGTTGGTGTTAGAATACAGAAATCTCGAGTCGCCAATCGGTGTTATGCTTTTTACGTCCGTTAGTACTAAGCGTTTCTGAAAGGCTTCGAGGGACAGGAAGAGGCCCGGCGTGGCAAGAGCTGAGGATTAACGGATTTTGAGACGTGATTGACACAGGGCTTTGAGGATATTGACGAACTTCCGAAATATGGACATCCAAAAATGTCATATATCTCGGATTGAAGGTGGGAGTATTGTCAAGAAGTACAACTCAATGTTCCAATACCTATCGTAGCGTAGACACATGATCGACGTATCAACAATCTGGAGTAAGCCCAGCTCGCTCTCTCTGAGCCTGTTTTCCACTTGATATACAAAGCTTGTGGAGCAAAATAGATAGATAAGATACACCCGGTGACCGATCCATACACAAATGATTGTTACATGTATTACGCAGGGTAATTTTAAAGACGTAAAATTTCACATGATTCCACATAGAGGGCGATCCGATTTCATATATCTTCCCGGACAATCTGGTCAACTAAATGACCAGAGTCTTAACGTCACTTTGAAAAACAGTTGGCGATAGGTTCAGTGTGTCGAGTGCCTTCAGGCTTTTGAACACTTCTAATAATCCGAAGATCACTGCAGACTTTGTCTCGCATCCAAGGAGTCTTTTAGGTCCTTAATCAGCACACCACCTACCACGTAGACTGCCTCAATAACAACATCCTTCTTGTTGTCAATCACTGGAAGGGGGTCTGACGTTACTTTCGACTATAGCCACTGCTGCATCCCTCTCTGCTCACGTCTTGATCAGCAGGCCCAATAGTTATTAAGTAAACACCATTTGACCCTATTTGTAAGAGCCTTACACAGGTCTTTATTCTCGCTATCCTGAATGGTGTTAAAGAGTTTCAAGGAAACGGCAAACACCAAGTACCTGGTAGCTACAAGTGAGATCTAAGTGCAGCGAGTGTCTGTCAGTAATGTGAAGGGTCAGTAAGCAGCCTTGAGTCTAGGTCTGCTTGATGTTTGGCTTTGTTGGAAGACGCAACCACTTTGCTTACGTCGGCCTAAAGTGATTCGGATTTCACATGCACTCCAGAAAACAGTCGACTCCGTACTTTATATAATTTAGCTCTCCAGATAGGAGACGACATTAATTTGGGTTGTGTGACAGCAGTTTTATACGCGACCTTTCGGGAATCTACAGAAAAATCGTGGCATTTCTGTGGGATATGAAGATAAAATGTTGTCTCCACAACAATAATTTCGCACAAGCCCTATTTTATTGTTGTGCTGAAAGTTCTTCGAAGGCAGACTTTAAATAAAGAATCAAATGCAAAACATTGTTCCATTATTTACACTTATAAATAAAAATAACAGATACTAAGTCCTGAGAAGCTGCTATACTGAGTACGATAAACCTACTCAACCACACCGGCCAGTAAAACTTTCACGGACACTGTGAAACTAGGGCGCCCAGAGATATAGAGAAACATCAGTCTCATTATTCGACCCAATGTTTTGACACTATGATATTCGTTACAAGTTATTCACAATAATCACAGCGTGTTTAATAAAAAATCAAAACAGGATTTTTTTCGAACGTTTCTCTGTTTAAGCCACAGTTTCCCCAACACGCAGGTACTGTTTACAAATTTTTTGTCCCTTTGATTCTTTCTCGCACAGAAAAGTGCAAATAAGTGTTATCACCAATGTGAGGAATTCTCAGAAGTGGTGTTTAGTATTGTACTGTGCCTAAAATTACACTGCAGAAGTTAGCGCAGAATCATAGAAGATTAGTGGAATGAATTAGAGAGACCACAGTTTCATCTATTATACTGATGGAAAACAATAACTTTACTGCCAGATTAAGAAAAGCGGAAGCTTACACGATAAGTTAAACTTATGTTATGATGACCTAATTGAAAATCCGGTGATGACAGCTTCAGTGCCAACTGACTGTATGACTGATTCAAACAAACTTCCGATATCCAATATCTTTTTTACGAGCTAGTATAAACCAATTTGATTTCTCTGTGCTCGCTTCTTGATTGTGAGGTAAAGGTTCCTGATCTTCGGTAAACTTCTGCGTAGCTCGTCCCGCCACTCGGTTGTCGTAGCTTTGGTTGACTCCAAAGGAGTAGTACTGGGATTAATTATACGCTGTTTGCAGTATGTGGTGTGTTAAGACTGTTACTACTGTGAATGGAGTTGGTCCTTTCAGCAGTTAGTCCTCCGGCATCGTCGCCAAAAGAAAAGAGATAGTAACAATAGATATAATTAGTGTAGGTTATTCAGACTAAAAGAGAAAAGGAAATAAAGAAAACGTAACAACAGTCGGTTGATTAAATTTGAAGTTTATATGCATGCATAATATCAGCAATTATAATAATAAGTGTAGCAGTCGGAGTTGTCAGGGGATTAATACGGGAGAAAATGTAGAGAAGTAAAACGAGGAATCAAGTTGTCTGCCCCTGAATGGTGCATGGGATTTTAAGTGGATAGGCCATTTGGACGCAGTCCTTGTGTCGCTGTATGATTGTCTAGCCTCCGCTTAAAGGCATCCACAGATGGTGCCGTAGCTACACCTGCCGGCAAGTAGTTCCAGGGGCGGCAAACCCACGGTGGAACGAAGTGGGGGTGCACTCGGGTCCTTAACCTCTAGTGAGCTATCCTTCTGGGATTTCCACGAGGAAGCCTATACCTACTCAACGGCAGAACACCATTGTTTGGGTGATCATGGTCATTTGTTATCTTGTAGGCAGTAATCAAATCCCCCTAAGCCGACCGTAGCTGAGTTTGAATAGGCCTAATTTCTTTAGACTTTCATCATACGGTTTATTTCGGAGACCAACCACTCCTTTTGTGGCAATTTTTGGACTCTTTCCAAGAGAGCAGTGGGGGCGCAATGATATCATGATATCAAGGTCCGGTCTGATGTATGTTTTGTACAACCTTAGAAAGACCTCAGGAGTGAGTGCACATAACTGTCTACGTGTAAAATTTATGACCGCATACCCCCCGTCACATCCCCAGTGTAGTTCACAATTGTGTTTAATTTTCCCGCTGGGGCTAGACCTAAGTCACGCTCCGACGTTGTACAGGGCAAGCCTTCGTTGCACAGTGTGTACCTTGCATTCTGCAGCCTACAGGCGCGTAATTTCACTTTTTCAGGTTGAAAGTCATACCGCTGCCCACCACACAGTCTTCCAGAATTTTTGGGCCTGAGTCTTCCGAATACTTTATCGCTCTTCATATCTTTACGTCGTCGGAGTAAGAAAGAGTTCGTCGGCTTAGACAGCACGGTAGGTCAGTGATAAAGACCGAAAACATCACTGGTTCTAGGATAGAACACTGCGACACTCCTGATGACGAGCTGTGTCAAGATGATCGGACTCTATTGACCATAGCGCAGAATTTCGTTTCAGCTAGGTAGTCCTCCAACCATGACAGAAGTGGCCCACCCATACCTGCCTGACCTATTTCGCGTAAGAGAAGGTCATGGTGAACCGTGTCAAATGGCTTCTCAAAGTCTAGGAAGACCACACGGACCGAAACATTCATATCCCAGCATGATGTCCATTCGTCCTAAAGATGATAGCAGATGAGTTACACAGGATCTGCCTTTCCTGAAACCGTGTTGGGCTTCACGGAGTCCATTAGCCCTATCGTGGTGCTCCATCTTCTGTGCTAGCAGCTGATGCTCTACTATAGTTCGGTAATGCATTTATAAGTGTGGTTGAGCCAGTATCCAATGCAATTCTACCTCTAATAACACGTTTTTTTATGGACATGGACCATAATTTCACGAATTATCTATCGTTAAGCAGTAAATGAATATCAGAGAAAACAACTGCATAAAATATCACCAATTTTGAAAGTAACACGAATGCCGTAAGGATCCAGGCTTGTTCACCACTTTATCGCATATACTGCCTAAATGGCTACATTTTTGTATCTTGATTCACCCATAAGCTGTAAGTTGGTGGCACATTTATCATAGTAACAGTTCCCAGTTGTACGGGAAAGATTATTTATTATCTGGCATGAAGTGTTAGCAACACTGTCGATATTTTGAGTTGCATTTTCTTAATCTTTTTCAACGCCAAGCATTTTCTAGATTCAGCGTTACTAAAACCATGGGGCAAACTTCATAAATTCACCTGAATCTTCATTATCAAAGTTCCAGTCTTCACTCCCCATAGGTAAGCAATCATCACGGATTTCCATGGCTTAGGAGAGTAACGCGTAAGCCTCTTTAGTTAGGAGGAAGTTAGGCGAGCAGAATGTTTTGTATGCACAACAGGATATTACTTTTCAGCGCCAATTAAAAGTAACTTGGTTCAAGGCATTTTTAGGAATCGTATATGGCAGTAATCCCTCTGTACACGATCTCTTACGAGGAACAGACCACAATGTCAACTTTATTATGAGATGGACAGGTCGTAATAAAATATATGACGATGAAGAAATGTAAACAAATAGGCTTGTGAGACCTACACTACACAAATTTCAGTTGAAAGATATTGTCAGCCAACTCTCGGAAACTGTCAATGTCCAGCTCTTTCTACGCTGGACCTCACACTGTCCCTCGAAGACTTTCAGAAACACTTTGTATTAACCAAAGCAAAAAACCAGAACACAGATCAGCGACTCAAGAATCCTTTATTCTTACGGCAATATGTAACCAACAATAAAGTTATTACACACAAGGTCTAAGAATAAATGTTGTAACAATAAATCACGATAGTACTTCTGATAGTTTTCTATCTTCCTTTGAACAGCGAATGATGAGACGATGGCTGCTGGATTGATGACTCCCACGAAAAATATGGAGGAGTTGGGTTTGAGCAAACAACCATGAATTGATCGTTGAAACTTCAACTACACTGACAGATATCAGGTCAGTGTACCACAAAATGTTTCTGGTGTAACGAGCAGCACTTTGCTCTAAATATGGAAGATCTTGCGTACCAAGGTTTTCCGATCTATATTATTGTTATAGAGCACAGTGGATAGTAACATAAGCTCCCACAAAATTTCAGAATTTCATTCAGATGTCCGATAGCCCTGAACCAGTCAGGTATGTCATGCGCTTTTTGAATACGACCTGCTTTTTGCTCTCCAGCAGGAAAATACCTATTTTGTGAATTATTCTGTTGACGAACCTGATCTTCTTAGCCAGTGGATTCAATTCGCCCGTTACTTACACATTAAATCTCTGTGTGGTAAGTACAGAGGTCTCGAACTACTGCCAAAGCTTCAGGTGCTACTTATGTAGCAGCATCTTCCTCACTAAATTGGATAAACAAGACTTGTTAATATACCACGTGATTCCTGTAAAGCCGATTAACCAAAAGGCACTAGGTGAAGATGAAGACCTTTTCTTTTCCTTAGCTTGTACTTTATTAGTCTTATTCTTGTTCTTTTGGTCAGATATTGTTGCTATCTCTTATTCATATATAACATAAGTCACTAGATGTGATACCCTAGGATTAGAAACACTATGGCTAAGACGCCTAAGACTGAATTCAACGCTTTACTATAAGCTGTTAAGCCACTTAGTTTTTACCTCTACTAATGGCGCTCGACTTTCAGATGACAATGGCTACAAACTAAGACACACTAAGGGTACAGTAGCTATTGAACAATGTAAAACAGCTACCAGGCAAAAGTTTTATTTGATTAGGTATGCACAGATATGGAATAAACTACCAATGGAAATGCGTCAAGCAGGTACATTGGCCTCCTTCAAAAAAGTGCTTAACGACAAACTACAAGAGTTTGCAAACGATAGTAGTCCTAGTTCCTATCTGAGAGCCTCCGAAATTATAGGTCCATTTAATGTATAAGTTCAAATACTACACCTGTTGTTTTTGCCTATATTTATAATTTTAGATAAAACATTAACGATTAAGATACTTACCCTCAAACAGACAAGAAGTTTCGTTTGTAAAACTTCTACCCAACACAATAAGTGGAATAAAACGGGCATAAACCGACAACATAAACAAGATTTAACTCACCACAACATCACATGGACAGATGTACGCTCGTCGGGCATCATATATGCCGCACCAACTACAACCCAACATTCCTAAGATAATGTGATGAACTTATATCCGTAATGTTGCTGAGTAGTCAATATCCACAACTCCTGTCGGAACAACTAAAATTCAAAAACCTTCCTCACGAGAAGTAAATACCCACAAGCAATAGAAATCCATCAATTAATGCGTCTAGAGCTTATGTATTTTACTCCCAACAATGACATTGCAGATCAAATGAGATAAGCAAATCACTGATTTCCAAATAACACAACAATGAACTATAATTAAAGAATTCTGTACACAACAAAATTATGTATGAAAACTGACTTCAAGCTTTATTTTTTTTCCCAGGCACTTATAACCCATCCACCAAAGACCTGGTTATTTTGTTAATGCGAAGACAATACTTCTGTATTTCCTGATGTGTTGCACTCACTGACAATCTAGCGGATTTTTCCAACTATGCACAGAAATGATTGTACATAAGTGAAAAGGATGTTTTGTACTATTGGGATTAACATTTATCAAGTGTATGTATAATCTCCAGCGTACATGTTAAACATATTTTGCTATCGACTGTAAATTGTGACTGAATAATATGGTCCTATTTCTGTAACAATTTGCTGATGCCTGTAAACTGGCGTCCCTCATGTACTGTACCATGAGAATAAATCTATTTATTTATTTAACTGTTAATGTGGAGGTTGAAAGTAGCCCTAGAAAAAGCACGAAAACACTATTCTGTAGTAACAAGGGCATCAGACAGAGAAAGGAGTTACCCAGGGACATCATCCCGATATCACATATCGATGCTAAGGACTTGTTTATATCTGGCCTGTTCTTGTACTACGCATAAATTGCCACAGTCTACCACTGAAGCGGCACAGGCTATACCAAGTGGATATGCTACATCACCTGAATCAAATAGAAGCCAGCGCGTGACACACGGAAAAACGAAAA